TGTGGGAAGATGATTAGGACTGAGTAAGAATTATGGTACAGCAATCCAGGATTGGTGAAAATAGTGGCAGAGGCAAGAAATTCAAAGAATCTTAGAGTACACTCTGCTACTAAATGGTTTCCATGATAGAACTGATGGATCTTTGAGAGGTTCCTAGAGGGACAACGAAACCATTTGCTTGGACAGTAGAGTCCCTCCCAAAAAAGATAGAGATGCTAATAAAGAAAATGGAAGAGCAAAGTCATGTTTATGTCAGTAGGAAGATATGGTTTGGAGGTCTCAGTGTCCAGGCTGAGTGTGGGGTAAGTGGTTTTGGTTCTCAGTATTTGGGGGAGGAGGGTTGTTAAAGATACACATGGCTGTGAGTGTGTGGCCTGCAGGTGAAGGTTGGTTGTGGCTAACCTTTATATTCAACTTTCTTTCTCCTGGTTTCCAAACTAGTTCAAAAATGTAAACACAGTTTATGCTAACTGAGCAATGATACTGTGCTGACTAAAGCACCCCCTGTGTCCCAGTGCACTGAAGCATGGGTAGGGAAAGAAGAAAGGTCTGTTGACAAAGTCAGAATATCCTCTGGGACAAGGCTAAAAGTATTATCATTGAATTCCAAACCCAAACAGATCAATTTGTAAATAAATGCTGTCAGAGGACATTGTAATGGATAGCATGTTCTTTTAAATTGATTTCTTTTTGATGGGATAAAAACATCTTATGAAAGAGATGTTGAAACATGGCTTTTAATGTAAAGTAACATAATTTAGATTTTAAAATAGAAAAGCTTTTGTTGATAGCAGTTTATTTGATTCAGTGCATGTACCAAGCGTTATTTTCTATGGGTTATAAATTAGCTTTGAACCAGCTATAATTCATAAATCGTTACTTATGACTAATTTATAGGAAATCTCATTAATAGCTATAGCAAAAAGAACTTGAAGTAAGCAAGAAATAGAAAATACAGCCTGGGGATTGAAAAAGGAGAGACATACTCTACAATTAAGAGAAACGCATTGTATTTGCAAATGAAAGCATACTTCCATCATTGCAGTTGATCCTTACCATAACTTTTAATAAGATATATGTTATTCTTATATAAGAAAAAGAAACTGAGTGTCCCATCATTTTATTTTTATTTTCAGTATGTTTTAAATATTTATGATATATTGCTTATTATGAGCTGTTAACTTTACATATATATCTATATATCTCTACCTATATCTATATCTGTATCTGTATTTATATCCATATATTATGTGAGTACCAACAAAAGCCTTTTGAGTAGATAACAGTGGTGTCCCCCTTTTACAGATGGGGAAAGTGAATTAAGAGACTTGAAATAACTTTCCCAATTGTTGAGTCCTGGAAGTTTAAGAAGACATTTAAATTTAGGAAGTCTCTTAAGTCTTCTCCCTTGATTACAGGACATGGATGCCTTTTTGCTATTTCTTAGTTTAAAGAAATAAGGGTAACAAATGGCTTATCTTAAGCAAAGGACTTCCCATCTTCACTTCTGTACTATTTCTAGTCAATAAGTTATTTCAACCTACGTTGCCAGAGTCCCTAGGATTCTAAGAGTCATAGGGTGAGAGGTGGGAGATGAAATAGAGGAGCAGGACCCTGGGACCCCAACCTGAAAACACCAGTTAGGGACACCTGGGTGGCTCAGTCAGTTAAGTGTCTGATTCTTGGTTTTGGCTCAGGTCATGGTCTCATGGTTCATGGATTCAACTCCAAAGTTGGGCTCTGCACGGACAGTGCGGACCCTGCTTGAGATTCTCTTTCTCTCTTTTTTCTCCTCCCCTTCTCTGCTGTCTCTGTCTCTCTCAAAATAAATAAAATAAACAAAATTAAGAAAAAAAAACCACCAGTTAATGTATCAGATATTTTATATGCTGTTTTTAATGCCCAATTAACTTAAAAAGTGCATGTTGGAGAGAGTAGAGTGTATAAAACTACATCAAATAATGTTAATAAAACATTTTCAGAGGTCATGATCACTGGAAATTTATGTAGGGTTCTATTTAAATGGAAATCTACAGGGGTCTTGAAGGTCATGTTTAAATTTACAATAAAAAATAACTCCTAATCTAACTCAGGGTGAGAAGCGTATCAAACACATTATTGCCACAGTATAAATGGGACAATAGAATAGACCTTTAAATGCCTCAACAAAATTAATAAGGTGAGCAGGGCCCTGCTATTTAGTAATTAGTTGTTTTAAAATGTAGATTTGATTATTATTTTGATATGATGGGACAAACAAATCAGGAGACAATTGTCATTGAAGGGATATATTTTTTATTTATAGTTCCAAAGAGGAGGCAGCAAGCCAAGCCACAGAGGGGCCACACAAGTAAGCAACAGGGTCACCAGAGGGTAGAAGGAACAAGTGAAAATCTGAGCAAGAGCCTTTTTCATGGGTTGGTTTTTGAGAGAAGGCAGGGGAAGCAGGTTGCATTTGGCTAGTATGAATAATTTTAGTGGATTCTGGGGTGTAGAGGCTGTCCCTAGGTGCCTGATTCTAGTGCTGGATTCATCAGGGCAGAGGGAGAGTGGTCCAAGTATAAGAGCGCTGGGAGATCCTGAATAAGGAGGTAGTTTGGGGCATAGGCTTCAGGTTGATTGGTTTGAATATGAAAGGCATGCTTTCAGGAAAGTTCTTTACTATCTTTCCCAAATTGCCTAGCCCTTGGAGAAGTCTCTCTGAAACAGCAAAGCCCTGGATATCAAAACATCAGAAAATATACAAAATAGAAAGGCATGGTTAACATACTGGTCCTGATTGCAACACATACACAAATAGTTGTAATGATATATTAACTGTTTCTGCACATTTGCAACAGCCATTATTTAGTGCCTACAGTGTGCCAGGTACTGAGTTGGCAGTGGGCTGAAAAAAACCATCAGACACAGCCTCTGTCTTCATGGTGTTCATAGGCTAGTGGGGAAAACAGACCCAGGGGCTAATGATCATAGTGCTAGATTGTGTGAAAGGTCAATCAAGAGTTGCAACAGCCCTGAAGAAAGAAGTAAGTCTCTTTCCCAGGCCCTCCATTCTCCTGCCTCAGGGAACTTTTTTTACTGTTCCCTGGATGTACTAGCATCTTTTATGTGTCCTTATCTTGGCTCAAGTTGGTCCTTGCCTAAAATGCTTTATTTTTTTTTAACTTCAACTTCTATAAAACCTAGATCAGATGATCCTCTTCTTTGAAAATCCTCTGATTTACTAGCACAAATTGAGCTGAGCTGATATCAGTGCCCTTGTGCCGGTGTGGCCTGGTCTCATACCAATGAACATATATTATTGTACTTCATTTGTTTGCCTATCTGTCTCATGTTTTGAATTATATTTACCTCAGGCGTAAGGATTATATTCTTCATCTTTATATACCCAGTACTCGACAACATGTCTGTGTAAGAGCAACAACAAAAATAGTAATCATAATAATGATAACAATAATAATAATAAAATCTAACATTACTGAGCTTTTACAATGTGATAAGCACTATTCTAAGCCCTTTATCTACATTAACTAATTTTACCCTCACAACACCACCAAGAAATATGTGATACTGTTATTCCTATTTTGCAAGTCATAAAAAGAAGACAAGTAACTTGTCCAAGATGACTCATAATAAGTACTAAACTAGTGCCTTTTTGAATTGGAACGTAGTGATCCCCCATTGCCTTTTTCATTTATTTCCAAGAATTTATAGAAGAGACTCTATTTATTAAATTGAGATGAGAGATTTGGAAGAAGTCATTACACGGGTCCCAGTTCATAATAAGCCAGCTGAGTGGGACAAACAATGGGTAGCCCAAGATCCTTTAAAATACCTCATTGTGCTGGGAAAAATGCAGAAAGTGAGTTATTTTATTTCCCTTCCCACAAATCTACTTAAAATCAGTAGGAGTAGGGACCCAAGATAAATAGTACTTCTTTTATATTCAGGTATTCTCTGTACCTAAAAATTATATATTATGGAAATGACTTAATTTGTCTTATGTCTGTCTATAGGTAGAAGTTAGCTATCTTATAATGAGTTTCAGTTCATGAGAATCTTCAAAAGTTTATGTATGTTTGTGCATGCCACTGTTTCATTATATCTTCACAGGTATTGTAAGTCAAGTTGCCAGGGTTTATAGATGAGGTCACCCCCCAAAAAACAATATTTTAAAGAAATTCGTTGGGAAAAACTATTTTGCCTTGCCGTCATTCTCCCAGAAACTCTTGCATGGAGCATTTGAAATCATATGCTCTTGGACCAGTCAGATGAGTGTGTGAGCCCTGGTTCTGTACTTACTAACCTTATGACTTCATGCATGTTACTTTCCCTATGATTAAATTTCTCCTTCAGAGGAGTGTTGTGAGGACAAGAAAAGATCAGGAAACACAATCGATGCAATTGAAAAGGGGCCCATGCTTGGTTAATGCTCTATTGTTATGGATTTGAAATTCTTCATAATTTTGAACAAGCCATCTCCCAGTTTCATTTTGTGCAGGGCCCTGAAAATTCTGTAGCCATTCCTGGATAGGTTGGTAAGTCTATATCCCATGATGCCTGGCAGATAAAGTAGCCTTCAGTAAAATCCAACTATTACTAATTTTGCAAGGGAGCTTTTAGTTTGTTGGGTTTAGCCCCAAATCCTGTTTTCTGAACTTGTCAAATCCGGTTTGGACATTGAGCCTGTTGTTGGGGTACATCTCATATATGCATTCAAATCATATTTGGTTGGTAAACACTATAGTAAGATGTTTCAGCTCATGCTTCCATCTCTCTGTGATTGCATATCTGATGGATATGCGCTGTGGATGATGACTAATTTGCAGTACAGAAACATTTTCTGTATAAACATGAACTGCATCACTCAATAAGGGATGTTAGATTTGTTGTTTCCTTAGTGTGAGAAATGATGGCTTTAGCTGATACACTGCATCACTGACATTGTTCCAGAAAGGCATTTGGAGGAGAGCTAATACTTTTTTTCTCTTATATTGCAGACTATTTGAACTCCAGAAGGACCAACACAAGATAAATTATGAATGTTGAACAAGATGACCTTACATCCACAGCAGATAATGATAGGTCCTAGGTTTAACAGGGCCCTATTCGACCCCCTGCTTGTGGTGCTGCTGGCTCTTCAACTTCTTGTGGTGGCTGGTCTGGTGCGGGCTCAAACCTGCCCTTCTGTCTGCTCCTGCAGCAACCAGTTCAGCAAGGTGATTTGCGTCCGGAAAAACCTACGTGAGGTTCCAGATGGCATCTCCACCAACACTCGACTGCTGAACCTCCATGAGAACCAAATCCAGATCATCAAAGTGAATAGCTTCAAGCACTTGAGGCACCTGGAAATCCTACAACTGAGTAGGAATCATATTAGAACAATTGAGATTGGGGCCTTCAATGGTCTGGCAAACCTCAATACTCTGGAACTCTTTGACAATCGTCTTACCACCATCCCAAATGGAGCTTTTGTATATTTGTCTAAACTGAAGGAACTCTGGTTGAGAAACAACCCCATTGAAAGCATTCCTTCTTATGCTTTTAACAGAATCCCTTCTTTGCGCCGACTAGACTTAGGGGAATTGAAAAGGCTTTCATATATCTCAGAAGGTGCCTTTGAAGGTCTGTCCAACTTGAGGTATTTGAACCTTGCCATGTGCAACCTCCGTGAAATCCCTAACCTTACGCCTCTCATAAAACTAGATGAGCTGGATCTTTCTGGGAATCATTTGTCAGCCATCAGGCCTGGCTCTTTCCAGGGACTGATGCACCTTCAAAAACTGTGGATGATACAGTCCCAGATTCAAGTGATTGAACGGAATGCCTTTGATAACCTTCAGTCACTAGTGGAGATAAACCTGGCACACAACAATCTAACATTATTGCCTCATGACCTCTTCACACCCTTGCATCATCTAGAGCGGATACACTTACATCACAACCCTTGGAACTGTAACTGTGACATACTTTGGCTCAGCTGGTGGATAAAAGACATGGCCCCCTCCAACACAGCTTGTTGTGCTCGGTGTAACACCCCTCCCAATCTGAAAGGGAGGTACATCGGGGAGCTTGACCAGAATTATTTCACATGCTATGCTCCTGTGATTGTGGAGCCCCCAGCAGACCTCAATGTCACTGAGGGCATGGCAGCTGAGCTGAAATGTCGGGCCTCCACGTCTCTGACCTCTGTATCTTGGATTACTCCAAATGGAACGGTCATGACACATGGGGCATACAAAGTGAGGATAGCTGTGCTCAGTGATGGCACATTAAATTTCACGAATGTAACCGTGCAAGATACGGGCATGTACACGTGTATGGTGAGTAATTCTGTTGGAAATACCACTGCTTCAGCCACCCTGAATGTTACTGCAGCAACCACTACTCCCTTCTCTTACTTTTCAACCGTCACAGTAGAGACTATGGAACCTTCTCAGGATGAGGCACGGACCACAGATAACAACGTGGGCCCCACTCCAGTGATCGACTGGGAGACCACCAATGTGACCACCTCTCTCACGCCACAGAGCACAAGGTCAACAGAAAAAACATTCACCATCCCAGTGACCGATATAAACAGTGGGATCCCAGGAATTGATGAGGTCATGAAGACCACCAAAATCATCATTGGCTGTTTTGTGGCCATTACACTCATGGCTGCAGTGATGCTGGTCATTTTCTACAAGATGAGGAAGCAGCATCATCGGCAAAACCATCATGCCCCTACAAGGACTGTTGAAATCATTAATGTCGATGATGAGATTACAGGAGACACACCCATGGAAAGCCACCTGCCCATGCCTGCTATCGAGCATGAGCACCTAAACCACTATAACTCTTACAAATCTCCTTTCAACCACACAACAACAGTTAACACAATAAATTCAATACACAGTTCAGTGCATGAACCGTTATTGATCCGAATGAACTCTAAAGACAATGTACAAGAGACTCAAATCTAAAACATTTACAGAGTTACAGAAAACAAACAATAAAAAAAAGACAGTTTATTAAAAATGACACAAATGACTGGGCTAAATCTACTGTTTCAAAAAAGTGTCTTTACAAAAAAAAAACAAAAAAGAAAAGAAATTTATTTATTAAAAATTCTATTGTGATCTAAAGCAGACAAAATTATGTGTATTCCTCAGAACCTGTTTTTGCTGCACTTATTTACTATTTTCCCACATTTCATCCCTGCCTTCCCCAGTTGCCATATTTTTCACAGGACATCTCAAGTCCCTAAAGAACTGGCCTAGGAAATTTTGTAAGAATTCTGTTACACTTTGAGATTTTTATGGTGAATTCTAGTGGTGAGATCCTGTCTATTTTGTCTTTCTTTCATTTTTTCTCCCTTTCTTTTTTTTTCCCTCATGCCCTTATCAAGTAGTCCAATGGGGAATGCAATATTAGAAATAGATTTTTAAGAGAGAACGAGATAAAAAATGCAAGATCTTATATTTTTCATGTAATGACCTGTTCTGTATTTATGAAGAGAACCATTCAATGGCAAAGCAAAAAAAGGAAAAAAAAAAAAAAGAAAAAAAAGAAAAAAGCGAAAAAAAGTAAGCAAACAACAGATTAATTTACATATGAGCATCTATAAAACCCATGATCTTTTAAACAACTCTAGAACCAGAATTTGTAGTTCAAAAACTAAAAAATAAGGTTATAAATAAAATATTGTTGGTTTTTCTGTACCTGGACACAACTCATTTGTAGTATGGCTCAAATGTGAGAAACTTGAAGGTAATTAGATTTTCTACTTTCTAAGAAAGAAAAAAATTATTGTATTCTTCAGTCACAGCATCAATCTCTATGGGGTCCTATTTCATTAGCTGACTTGAGTGTTGGATCTATATTCAGGGATGCTGTAGTATTTTTTTTTCCCTTCACATTAGGATCACCCTTTGTAGAATGCTCAGATTAAAAAATAATGATTTTGTGAAGTAAATTCAATTCCACTTGGAAGAAAAGTTTCAGTATAATTTATTCACTGTCTCCTAAGTAAAATTCTACTGGCTAGCTAGATGAAGTATAACAAGAGAATGTAAAGGTATTATAAATTGCCCAAATTGAAAAATAATTTTTGGTGCTGAGTATCAGCAAATTCCATTCAATTGCACAATAATTATATGACCTTCTATGTTTTAAACACTGATCATTGTGCTGTGGGTACACAATGGACAAGACCTGCTTCTTGTCCTTAAATCACCCATGATCTGTATGAAATATTATTAAAGAAACTTCAGCTTATTATTGAGGGCCAGCTCCAATTTCACTGTTAGGTGGAAGGCTGTGAATTGCAAGCCCATTCAAAATATTGGGTTACTGTTATGACAGAAACCTCATTGATTTATGGTTTCTTCCATCCTTCTGAAAGAGCTGACTCTCTTCTTTCAAATGCAGATTGCAGAGCTGTAAAGATGTGTGGGTCTGGATTTGCCATGATGGATGTGTGCACACCAAGAGATAGCAATGCTAATACAGTGGTAATTCACTAAAGGTACTTTAAGGGACTGGAGAAATGTTAGGTATGAGAACATACACTAGCTTTCAAGTAAAAAAGGAACTTGCTGGTTATTGGTACCTTGGCACTCTCCTGATTTTTAACATAGTATGTGTATGACTTCTGTCTGCATCTAATGTGAAACAAAATGAAGATAGACACCTCTTTTTACTAGCCCTTGAAATGTGCCACCTCATTGGTGATGTAAATGATGCCCAACTGAGAGAAAACTTCATCTCCTAATGGATGAGGAGCTTGTATACTTATGGTTATTTGCAGACTGGACCTCACACCAGGGTTTTGTGATCTTCTGGTGTGGAAAATAAATCATTACTGGCAAAGTAGGTCAGAGAACTGGAATGAAGAGGAAGCAAATGAATAAGACCACACAAGGGTTTTACTTCTATTTTCTGATCACCAATTCTCTTGTAGCTTTTTCCTCCCTTGAATTATCCCTCCCTTTGTCAGGAACACAATTCACATTTTACTTTTATTGTGGAGAAGACCCAAGAAAAGGGAAAACACATGTTGGTTGTCACTGGCCAAGCTGCTCCATATAGAATGTATTTAATATATTCCCAAGCTGCAGATCACAAAGCAAACGAACAACCCACCAAGGAATATCCAGTGAGTGTTAGTACAAAGAAGAGTGGTATAAGCCAAGAGGGAAAACAGTCTTGCCTTTTCTATTTGATTTGTGTTCACTGAGCTCTCTCTTTGCTAACTCTGAACCTTCATTCACTCTGAGCTGATAATTCTTACAGAGTTAGTCCTTGCACGCAATTCCCCTTGGCTGTGAGGGTTGGCTGAACCAGTAGATAAATTCTACTAAATAGAACAAAAGGTTAACTCAAAAAAAGTTAGGTAAGAAAGCATACCTTTTGGTCCTATAGGAGATTATAGTTGCTCTAATAAATACATTCTAGAAAAAAATATATTGATGAAAGACTGGTTAAGCCAAACTTGACTTTCACAGTAAATCTGACCAAAGGTCCTCATTGCAGGTTTGGGGGTTGAAGGATAGAATGCTCTCAATGCATTACCTAGCTGTATGTATCTAGAAGTTTATGATTAGCAGTGTCTGCATTTGCTCTGCATAATGTACTTGGCTTTATGTATTAGAGACCATCTACACACTGTGGACTTCTTGGTCCTGAAGAAAGTTCTTATGACTATTTAAACATCTGGTATATCCTTGTAGCAAAACACAATTCTATGCCAGTTGCTCTTTGTATTCTATCCAAAGGCAACCAAGTGACAGTATTCTTAAATACTCATGTGCACCAAAAATATGTCATTTACAATTAACCAGGTTAAGGCAACCTGATGATAATGTGTGTGTGTGTGTGTGTGTGTGTGTGTGTGTGTGTGTGTGTGTACATATATACTTTTCCTACTTAAGGTATTCAGTTTGCTTCAGGGAAACATTAAAAATGTTTTAGAAAGAAGAATCTGCAAAATTTTCTACTCAGGAATCCTATATACCTAGTTATTACATCAATTACCTAAATTCTTCTGAATCTGTCCAGATACATTCCAAGTGACAAAATAGAAGAATTTGGTATAGCTCATGCACACTGGCCCTGATATGGCTTTATTAATTGTCCCCTCAAATTCTGAATATTCTGTAATCAAATATCATCTCTTCCCAAGATTGAAATAGGTCATTTGATCTTAGAACATTGATCAGTGTTTGTTTGAGGAGGAAAATGTTGCTAGTCTATGATTGCTCTGAGCCCTTAAAATCAGGGTAAAAATCAAGATATTTGAGACTGCACACTTTGAAATTCTGAATATAGATTGTTGGAAAATTACTAGACAATAGAAGAGTTATTTACATGGGAGAAGGAAAAGAAAGAAAGACGTATTCTAGGACAGGAGTTACTAAAACATAAAAAAATAAATGGATGGTTCCAGATTACTCAACATTTCCAAGATAAATATTTAAAGATGGTAAAACATCAACAACAGCTAAATCCTTTATCCTTTTGGAATAATCTTCAGGATGCTTAGAAATAGAAGAGTCAAATGAGTGAGTGTTTAGTACAGTGCGGTGCTCTGAAACAATGTAATTTTAAAATAATGTGTTCAATTGTTGATTTGGTGTTCAACTTACTAGTTTTAATAAGGATATTGCAGATAATGATAGCATTAAATTTCAGACACAACAATGCGGGTTACTCTTCTAGGAAACCATTTGTTGTTTTCTCATAAAATATATTAACACAGAGCCAAATTGTTCATAAAAACATCTCCCTCCACAGTAAACATATATCTTTATATTAGATTAACATGTGATTTCTATACAAAAGATACACTATTTTATTCATTTATTGTTTAAGATTTTATTTTTAAGTAAAACCTACACCTAGTGTGGGGCTTTAACTTGCAAACTGGAGGTTAAGAGTCACATGCTCTTCTTACTGAGCCAGTCAGGCGCCCCTGGACAAAAGGTACTTTAGATAAAAATGGGTTTAAAAATTGCCTTTAAAAAATCAAAAGTTTTCTATTCTTTTTCTTCTGCCATAAGGAGAAATATAAATTCCAAGAAAATCTGTATTAGGTAGAAACCAGCTGTGACACCATTGTCTTTCCATGCTCTATCAGGATACAAAATAAGATACATCTGGCTCCATGAGAGAAAAAAGAAATCCAGAATGAATGACAGTGCACTATCAATTAAGATCCAAATTTAGATGCTGAGCGAAGCATTCTTACAGCACAAATCAGTTCATGTCCTTTTGTGTTTTCAAGTGCTGCCAGAAAAGTTCAGAGACTTCAGCCTTCCTTAGCGTTATTTAAGAAATGTATCCAAATTATGTATAAAATTATATAATTAAATTATATAACAAGTGTTTAGCAGCAGTAAGTGAAACCAGTGTTCATTTTGCTTTTGCCCAAGATAAATAAAAAGAAAAAGGATGGGGGGCATTGCAACAAGACAATCGATTCAGCTATTTTAATGAAAGCACATGACATTGGAAGATCCTCTGTTTTGTGAATTTTGTCATGCACAGTAAACAAAGATACTCATGTGTTCACTGCACAAAATACAGAAAGTAAGGATCTACGAAACTGCAGACCATAAAGCCTTGGCTTTCAATATTTGGCCCAGTAATTTAATTTCACTTTCCAGATTATAAAAACTGTACTTTATTATCTATTAGATGCTAAATTGCTGAATCTGAATTTGTCTGAACCACCTCAATCTTGTCTTTATCCAGTGGCAGAAATAGTGGCTTTTAGCCCAGATGAAAGGGAATCTTCTGTGTTGCTTGAAGGAGAGGGACTGGTCTTTGTGGTGGCCGTGGAATCCCTCCTGATTTATGTCCTGTAAGCCTGAGAATTTGGCAGAATATCCACCTAGCTCAGCCCCAGGATATACTAATGAAAATCCATTATGGGAACCCCTAGCATTTATTGTGGCCATATATCAGTAAGGCTTCTGAGTGACAATTAGTAAATCTCCTTACTTCTCAGCCCTTAGTTCCACCTTAAAGAGGTAAAAATATAGTGGAACTTAATTTCTATTTAAGCACAGTTGCTAGTTTGTAACATGTATAGTTCTCTAGGAGAAATAAGTGACACCTCAACCCAGCTCAGACACAAGAGGAATTGTGATATATTTTATGGTATGTACTTTTTTTTTAATGAAAGCTACTATAAAATTTTGAATCAAATAATTTGTAATACTAGAGAGATCATAAGTTTCTTTAGTGATGGAATCATAATGAAGAAAACTTAACAAAATGTGTAAAATGCCTCAGAGTTCCCAGTCCTATGGCTAGTTCTATTTTTAAAAAAATAAAGTTTTACTGGGGGGCCTAGGTGACTTGGTCAGTTAAGCGTCTGACTTCGGCTCATGTCATGATCTCATGGTTCGTGGGTTCAAGCCCCGTGCTGGGCTCTGTGCTGACAGCTCGGAGCCTGGAGCCTGTTTCAGATCCTATGTCTCCCTCTCTCTCTGTCTTTCCCCTGCTCACTCTCTGTATCTATATCTTAAAATAAATAAACATTATTTTTTTTAATTTTAAAAAATCTAAAGTTTTACAAAATGAAGAGAGAAGTAATAAAGTTTCTCTTTCCAGCATCCCTCAAACAGACTAACTCAGAATTGTTAAGATATTTCTCAACATAAATTGACTGTTAAAGAATGAACTTTAGTTAAATCTGACATTAACAATGTCAGGTAGTTATGTATTCTCACCTGAAATTTTTTCAAGTCTTGCAAACAAGTCACTCTTAAAAAATTAATGACAATTTTTATGTGCTCAGCTGCATTTTTGTTTTTCTTTATGTTAAGGTTTACTTATTTTTGAGAAAGAGAGAGAGAGAGCACAAGCAGGAGAGGGAGAGAAAGGGAGACAGAGAATCCCAAGCAGGCCCCATGTTGTCAGTGCAAAGCCCAATGCGGGGCTCAAACCCACACACTGTGAGATCATAATCTTGGCTGAAGTTCCATGTTCAACCTACTGAG